TATATATACATACACACACATTAATACACTAATTATATACACGCATAGATTATGTTAACATATATACCAATACACCAAAAAATACATAAGCACTTTAGTATATATATATACTAGTAATAATCCGTGCCTGAAGGCACTAAGCAACTCAAAAAACTTCGACCACCGGTTATGTAATATAAATATTTCAAAAATACTTTATTTTTTTTATTATTTTCTTTAGTTAAACAAATCAAAATTAATTTAAAAACATGTTTTTTATAAAAACGTTTGACAAAACTTTTCTAAAAACACGACCCCTAAAAAATATCAACATGTACACAATTTATATATTTAATTATTATACTTGAAAAATATTTTCTTTTTTTTGTAGGAGTCGATATTGACATGTGTGTGTTGGCGGGTGTATAGAGAGAGTTATATGAGAGATCGATATGATAAACTTATGAAAAATAAGAATATGATATAGAGAGAGATTAGGGTATTAATGAGTATTATATGTATTATGTTATTATTAGATATATATATAGTCGTTCAAGCGAAACTCTTGGAAGATAAAGTTAAATGAGATATGAGAGTGTGTGTAAAAGAAAGAGATGTAAAATAAATAAAAATTCAATTAAGATCGTATAGATATAAATATAGATAGATAGATATAGGATGACATACATAGACAGAACTACACAGGGGCGAGGGTGGACACAGGCCCATCCTCAATTTTTTTTAAAAAAATATGATATATATATATATATAATTATTTAGTTTTTTTTATTATAATGTGACTTTCTTCAGATGACATTCATTTTATTATGAATTTTTGCAAGTGAAAGTGTTTTCAATTGATTTTCATTTGATTTTGTTTTTTATACGAAAAATTATCTTTTATTTTTATTCGAGTATTAATTATAATCTTTATTATGTGCCAATTGATTTTTAATTTTTTTACTATGTCTCTTAGATTTTAGTTTAATAATTTTATTATACTAATATTTTAGTGATAATGTTTAAAATATCGTTTATTGAATAAATTTAATAGATTGTTGGTGAATAATTGATATTTTTTAATTATAAAAATGACAATTAGTTTCACTTTTTACATTGGTGATAATTAGTCAATTTTTTATACATATATATTATTTTTTGGCCTTTTTATGCTAAATGAACTTTATGTATCAAATATGATATAATAAATATAAATATATTATGCAGTGTTATTGGTTAAGAGGAAAAAAATTATAGTGTATAATTAAAGTGTCCATCCTAAATAAAATTTTTGACTCTGCTTCAGATTACATATGTTAATGAACCTATAATTTATTAGAAATAATCTTTGTTATTGTATTTTGTTATTATTAGATATATATATAAAGAGAGTTATATGAGAGATAGAAGAGTGTGTGTTTAAAACGTGTGAGAAATAGCAGAAAGAGTATGAGATAAAGGGAGAGAGAGTTGTATCCATTAGTATAAGATAGGGAGAAAGAGCGAGGAGATGAGATAGTGTGTTTAAAATATCTAAGAGATAAGAGAGAGAGAGAAAGAGTTATATGAGAGATATGAGTGTTAGAGTTAAGTTCAATTATGATCGTCGGATCAGTATTTATGAGATGATCTGAACCACCTTTTATGTTAAAATTACGTTGTCCGTTGGATTTGTTTATATTTTGTCTCAAAACGATCTTGACCCCTCTTTATCTCCAGAATTCAAACTTCATTTTACTTTATTATATATATATATATATATGAGATAGAGAGAAAAATAGTTATATGAGATATGAGAGACTTAGAGCTATAAAAGAAATAAAAGTTCAATTAAGATCGTCAGATCAATAATCCTCAAATGATCTGAATCGTAAAAAATTCAAAACAAATAATTTAACTACTTTATTATATAGATTTGTAAACCGTGTATACCATGGTGATTCCTTATGTCCTTTGGGAAAGTCTTTTTATATAGATTTTTTTTTATCGTTTTATATAAAGTATGCCAAAAATATTAATTCTTTAAGATAATTAAGGGCTAAACTTTGGTGGGAGACAAGGTTTCTCGTAATTGGAGTGATGTTTAAAAAAAAACTAAGGCAGTAAGGTCTAATCAATGAGAGAAGCACTTTTCTTTTCTGGCGGATAGCCAACCAGATGTGCACTACAATGCTTCAAATTCGCGATATCAATCAGGTAAATAGAGCATTTTGAGACACATTAGCCGTAATGTTACGGAATGATATAAGACGAAACAAATGAAATGATAGATATAAGAAGTTAAATGTACAAACAATTCACCAATATATTTTAATACAAACAATATATCATTTTGTGTCACAAAATGATATTTGATTAATTCACCAATATATTTTAGGTGAGATTATTTTTACCTCTTAATTTTTTTTCACCCCATTTAATTATCTTACTTTAAATTATTAAATTTACCTCATTTATACCCAGCCTCATTAGTCACTCTATTTATACCCATTTAATTAAACTATTAAATATATGTCAAAGAAATCAAAACAAAAATAGTAATTAAAGCGAAATTTTAATGTTCAAAGGTAATTTATATTATGTCGAAGTGTTTTAAGTTATTTTGATATATTTTCACCAATATTTTTGAAATATTTGAAACTATTTAAAGATATTTTGACTATGACCATTTCCAATGTTGATTTAAATGTTTACTCAAATTTGAGCAAAAAAATTGATATGATACAAGTTATTCCAATATAATGGATAAACTTAAATTTATAGATGGACAAACTCAAATTTAAAAGAATGTGAAATATGATTATTAGATCTTTTAAAAGAGTGAAATTTAACAATTAAAAATTTGAGTAAATATTTGAGTCTATCTTAATTTGAGTAAAAAGTTGAATCTCCTTTCATTTGATATAAGTTTGAATAAAAGATTAGGGCTTGTTTTTAGTCTATTTTTGCTTAAATTTAAATTTGAGTAAGAATTGATGATGTCCTAATATTTTAAAAATAATTATTAATTTTTATTTTGCTTCTGAAATATTTTTGCAACAAAATAGTACACTTAAACAAAATTTTGATTGTTGCGTATATAGTAGGTTGAAATACAATTGAATAAATTTAATTTTTAATTGGTGAATATAGATAAAGTGAGTTTAGTAAATAAATGAGGTAAACTTAACGGTTTGAAGTAAAATGATTAAATAAAGTGGAAAAAGAGATTTAAAGAGTGAAAATAATCCCCACCATAATATCTTAAGTGACTCAAAATTGACTAAAAAAAAAAGTAAGACTAATAATTTACACAAAATATTCTTAAAACATAGGTCTTATTTGGTTTGTATCTTAAAAGATAATATTTTAAAATTATTTTTGGGAAGAATTTTAGAAAAATGTATTTTGATTTTTTTGTATCGCAAAATTTATTTGGTTATATGATTCCAAAAATAGTTATATGAAATAAAAATAGTAAAACTTATTTGAATAATAACAAAAACAAATAATAAAAATAAAAATGTGATGGTGGCTGTGTGATTGTAGTGGTGGTAGTAGTGATGGTGGAAGTGTGATCTTAATGGTGGTGGTAGCGTGGTATTAGCGGTAGAGGAAGCGTGATAATGGTATTTTTTAAATTTAAAAAAAATTATTTTAAAAAATACAAAGAACACTCTTAACTTGTTATTTAAATTTATTCATATTTTTTTCTTAATTTTTTAAAAAAAAAAATCAAAAATCAGTTGGTGAAACACGAACTCAAAGCCTTTCTTTCCTCTCATTGTACTTTTCGTTTATCTCTCTTCCAAAAGTTGAAAGCTACGAACACCCTGTCCCTTTCCTTGCCACTCGTTTCGGGTCTTGTCTCTCCTTTTCCCTATACCATTATTTGTGCACATTTTTTAATCACTTACAGCAAGACTTCTCGCCTAAAAAGGCAGGAGAGAGAGAGAACATATCTCACTCTTCAATGTCCACTGTTTCAACGTTTGTTTTAACATTCTCTCCCCCCCCCCCCCCCCCCCCCCCCCCCCCCCCTCCCCCCCCCCCCCTCCCCTCTTCCCCCTCCCCCCCCACCGCCACTTCTACCACAACCATTACCACTCACCATTGATTGTTACCACCGCTGTCTTCCACCATCACCCACCACCATTGTCATCACATTCTTATATTTATTAACATTAGTACCATCATTTCACTATTACCGTCGAATACCATCAACACCTACCACCACCGTTGTTTCCTAACATCACCCATTACCACAACCCATCATCCGTTGTCGTCCACCATCTTTGTCGGCCACTGTCACCCACCCTCACCACACCTACCNCCCCCCCCCCCCCCCCCCCCGCCTCTCTCTCTCTCTCTCTCTCTTTCACACACACACACACATTTCTAATATGCCTTTGATTATACCTACATGTGTATGTACCGTTCATATCTACATTATCTAAAAGACGGTGTATTCCTCCTTCCAATAATTCCTACATGATGATGGTAATGTCACTTTTGTCCCATCATGTATAATTTTTTACAGTAATATTAGATTGATTAAATTTTAAAATTAAATTTAAAATTTAAATAACAAGACTATTAACTTGAACTTCTTTAATTGATATTATGTTATTTAGATTTTAATAAAAATTTTAAATAATTAACTGTTATATTATTTGTACTATAAATTTAATGAGTGTAATATTACTCATCTTCTTTGCCTACACCCCGTAGCCTTTTTTTTTTTTCACCATTTTCGTGCGGGGAGGTGAACTCTAATTTATTTATTTTGTTATTTTTTATAGAATCATTGTATAATGTCAATAACATTGACATGAGATGACCGTTTTATCTAATATTTATACGGTCATATATATTTTCTTCACCTAGACCCTGTAGCTTAGCTTCTTTTTTAAGACTGCCCTACTCTCTCTCTCACACACACACGCACACACACACAACGCTATTCTCATCTTTTTGTCAGTTGCACTTTAATGACCTATAATGGAGTGTTGTCAGAGGATGAATGGTTGAGAAGATCAAGTCAGTCTTCTTCTCTTGCACTTGTCTGTAAAAGTATCTCACTGTTCTTTGACTCCTTTGTTTATCTCTATCATGTTTGCTTATTCAATCTTCTTGCTCCAATGCTCATTCTGCCTACAGGCTGGGAGGTTTCTCTGCATAATGACTGCGTGTGGTGGTTGGCCATAGCTAAGTTTTTGCCAAATTCTGCTTGATTTTTGAGGTATATTCAATACCCATCTTATTAAATTTCACCCTCTTCAGATCCTTCTTATATTCAGTACCCATCTTTGTTAATTTCATCCTTTTCACGACTAGTAGTTGAGAAAGAATAATATGATGGTTCATTGCAATGCATGTGTATTTGTGAATGGTGTTATTCATTGTGCCCTCTATTTCTTCCAGATAAATGATAAGTACGACAAAACAAAGCTGTGACCCTCTTATATTTGTGAGCAGTGACCAATTACTGTTACAACTGTGGTGCTTCTCTCCATTATTGGACAAAATAAGGGTCGCAAGGTGTGACTTGCACATGATGTTGTGAGAATTTGGTTTACAACTCATCAAAGATCTTACAAGTTTTGAATTCATATCTTGAAAGACTTAGCTAATCACGTACAGTTGTTTTTTTTTTTTTTAGCCGATCACTTACAGTTGTTTACAAGACAATAAAATTGACCATATGTTTTGGTTTTGGGTAAGAATTTCAGAAGGTCCCCTGCTACATTAACTTAGAATTATTTTTTGGGGTGGGGTTTATTTGTGGTGGTTATAGTGAAGCACACCTTTTTAAGCATAACTTAACTTTCGGTCTGGCCTTTTCTAAAAGGTAGGCCATTCAAGGATCTAACTCTCCATCCAGCACGTACTTCAATATCTATGAGGGGAGAAGATATTTATTAGGAAAAAAGAAAAGATTCAGGAAGGAAAATTTTGGTCAGTCTGCATTTGGTTTGGAGCCCAGTGTGTGTGTTGCATTTCAGCATCTAAATAGCCGATCAGTAGGGAATAATTTTTCATGCTCTTTCTGGCAGATTTTTCTTGACGATTTCACAAGACTTCAATTTACATAGGAATCTAAATTCTCGGTGATCAAACGCTAAGAAGCCCATTTCACTAGTGTTATTTGATTATTTTGTCCTTTATTCTTTTTTTATATGACTGTCAATTTTGTTGAACCAGGAATAAGAATGGAAAAAACTTATGGAGAGATGACTAGGTGAATGAATATGAGAGGAACTTGATTGTAGCTTTTGTTGAAGTCACTTTTTCAGTACTAGCTGGATTGGAGAAAGAAGGTCCACTAAACACGACTTTCATCCAAGTTTTGGGTCCAGAGGCATTGGAGTACGGAGAGTACAGGGGATTCATTAGTAGACTTAGATTTGGGCAGGTTGGGCGAATTGGAAGCTCATAGGATTAAGCATCTGAAGGGCTTGGTGATGGAGTCGTCATTTTCTGGATCATCGAAGAGGGCCAAGGCACCGGTTAATGTTACCCAAGTTGTTCATTGTCTGGTTGATGGGTGCAACTCAGACCTCAATCAGTGTCGCGAGTATCACAGACGGCATAAGGTATGCGAGATCCACTCGAAGACTCCTAAGGTCACAATTGGGGGTAGAGAGCAACGGTTTTGTCAACAGTGCAGCAGGTAAGTGTTGGACTGCTCTCAAATTGGGGATTCCATTATGTTGTCTGTAATATATTTCTGTATTTCAGTTCATTTCTGTTTCTCAGAATTATTTTGATTGGCCATTAGGACTTCATCAGGGGAAATAATTAATCCTTTCATGTTTGACCATAGTTATTAGGATCGTATGATACGTCACGATATACTTGAAAAACGATACGTATCGTGTTTCTATATTGTTTTTGTACCGTATCGTACGACACGCCCGATACGTGACGATTCTGTCTTTTTTTATTTTTTGATTTTTTTGGGTTGAAATGACATCGTTTTATCTCAGAAATTATTTTTAAATCACTAGATAGTGAAACAACGTTGTTTCAGTGGTTATGATTTAAAAAAAATAAATAAAGTCTATTGTTAATGTTGTTCAATTGAATTCAAAATTCTTGATTAATATTAAGGATGTTCAAGTAGTTGATGTTAAAATTTTGAATTAGAGGTTTTTACATTTTGATATTACTGAACTATGTTGAGAACTTAAATAGTTGGTGGAATATTAAAGAAACACTATGTTATTATGAGATATACAATACAATATGATATATTATTTTTAAAAAATTATACGTCTATTGATACACGATTTGACAACTATATGTTTGACATTGCCTTTGAAGTAACCAATGTTTTCTACAGCATTCATTATATTCTAAGATTGCAAAGGTCAAACGAACCAAATAAATATCGACTTCTTGTCACTGTTCCTGCTCCACCTTTGTAGTTGTCTGACATGCTTGATTTGGATTTACATGCTTTACAATGAATGACAAGGGCTTCTCTATACATTCTTTTCTTTTCTTTTGTTTGAATAACTATGAAGAGATGATACATATAAAGTTCAAATGGCATATGTAACTCATATTATAGTGTTGTGGTAAATACGAGGGAAATGTTTGTACTTCATCTCCATAGAGTTATGAGCTGCGATTATGGAGTGGACTAAGGGAGGAGTGATGCTTATAGAGTTTCTAAAAATTCAATCGTGCTTAAATTCTGTTTTCTCTCCAGCACCTTGCTTAAAATCTGTTCTCTGTCTAGCTGTTGAATCTATTCAGTGTCCTTAAAAATACTTTCACGGAGGGTGCGTCTATGGTGCGCAAACTTTTCTTGTTGCTTTAAATTTTATTTTTTCTTTCTTTTGGATAGTATTGGATCGGGTTGGGAGAAAAGGAACCCAGTGATACAAGGTCCAATATACACATGTCTGAAACTGATACGCACCTAAAATTTAAGCGTTGTGAGCCCATTTAGTGTACTATGCACTTTTACTCTTTTTTTTTTTTTTCTATTTGAAGTAGGATTTTCACACATATAATACCCCAATAATCTTCTCCTCATGTGTGAATCGGTTCGGGTTTAACTCCTCCTTAAGTCTGACTGTCCATTCTCAACAAGCAATATGTCTAATTACTCTTTACAAGAATCCGCTCTTCTAAGAACTAAGCTTTCACTAATCTCTATGAGTCACAGCACTCCCACTCTATTGAGAGCCATTGCCCTCAAAGGTTCACACCCTGTTCTTTGTGCAGAGTTGCATTTTCATAATTTCAATACCAAGACCCCATCGTTTTTCGTAAAGAGTCATTGATAATACTGGATTGCTACACCACTTCATTTAGAATTCACCTAGGTTCATTAGCCATTGGTCTTGATTCCATTTGTTAGGAGAAAAGGAGCCCAGTGATACAAGGCTAAATGTAAACATGTCGGAACTCATACCAAACTAAAGATTAAGTTTATTGGTGGTGAGCTCATGAACAGTATATTAAGACACTTTTATTTATTTTTCTATCCGATGTGGAATTTCCACATATAATACCCAACATATTGTTATTGCACTCCTTCATACAAGTTTTGGCCAAAAGAAGTATTGTCTGAGTCTGATTTGTTAAACTTTCCTTCTTTAAGATTTTTGTTTCCACATATTTTTGTGGTGATGAATACCTTTTGCAGGTTTCATTCTTTGGTAGAGTTTGATGAGGGAAAACGAAGCTGCAGGAAACGTTTGGATGGCCATAACCGGAGGCGAAGGAAGCCTCAGCCAGAAACTCTATCCAGAAGTTCTGGAATGCCTCTTTCTAGTCAACAAGGTTTGGATTTCTTATCCAGGAATTCACATTTTTACTCTCCATTCTAATTAGTTGGAGTTTCAAATTAAAGGTAGAAGGGGGATGGGGGGTTCAATGTTTAGGTTGTGGGGATGGGGTGTTGGTTTTTGAGCCTCACCGTGGTTTCCACAAAGTAAATAGTTATCTATTGTTGTCTTCAAGGGGACAAATGATGAATTGCATACATGTTTCAATACATTCTTCATCTTAGGTACAAGACTCTTGTCATTCAACAATCCACAAATATTTTCAACTGCTGTTGTGAGCTCCACCTGGGCTGGGCTTGTCAAAGCTGAGGATGAGACATTGCTATACAACAGCCACCCAACCTTAAACTACATTGACAGACACGACCAATTCCCTGAATCTTCCACTCTCAGCAGTTACAATGGAGTAAACCAGATTCAGTTCTTGCAAGACACCGACCATGCTCTCCCTGAGGCCTCCGTCTGTCAACCACTTCTTGATCCCAATTCTGCATCTGGACATAGTAGCAGCAGCCAAATAATGTTTTCTGATGGGTTAAATCGAGTGGTTGACTCTGATCGTGCTCTCTCTCTTCTGTCACCTGCGCCACCTGTCCATAGGGAGATCGGTTTGAGCTATATGGTGCAGCCTGACCCCAACACCCAGGCACAATCTTTAATCTATAACCTGCAGTGTAGCAATATGAGCCAATATGCATTCACACCAGAAATGCAAAGCAAGCCTGTAGTTTCTACTACCGACTCAGACAATAGCCACAATGCTGCCACCCTCCATTTCCAGGAAATTTTTCAGAATGGACCTGATGGGTCATCTGCAAGTGGGTCTCACCAAACGCTTACATTTAGGTGGGACTAGTTTATGCCAATTCCAGTTTGCCTCCTTGATCAAATCAACTTTTGTTCATGATGGACCTGTATTTTTCAAATAAATTCAGGATGAAACAGTTAATGACTTCCCAACGTCCAACGACTTCCCACGAACTATGGCTTCCTGAAAGTGAATTTCTCACTAGTTATTATGTGCTCTCTCTCTCCCCCCTCTTGTGTGTGGGTGCATGTGTGTTTGAGTGAAAATGTCTCTTATCCAGGGCTGGTGATTTTATGAAAATGGAGCTTATATATGGTCAGAGGGAGCTGTCATAACCTACTACAAGCAAAAACAAAATGCCCAACCGAGAAATGTTGTAGCATCGATAGGCATGTGCTCAGATCAAGTTGCATGCTTAATCAACCAGAAAAGACTGAAGATATAATGCATTCAAGGGGATACCAAAGTGGGAACAGGCTGATTACATTTCACCCAGCTGGTGTCTCCATTCTTGACTCTTCAACCAAATCTGCTATTACTGTTACTCGGAATGAAACGCAACCTCTAATTGATAATGTCGAACAGTAAATATTGTACGTGGATGTGTAGCACATTAGCCATCATCGTTTTGGTGCACTATTCACAAACTTCACAACGAGGCCCTATTAGTGATGAGAGACTTGTGTATCGACTTTCATTTATTCACCAGTAAGGTATAATGATGAACTAAAATGTGAGATTTCTCATCATTAATGGCTAGTTGGATGACTCACCAATAAATTTTTGCAAGCATCCACAATAATTAGATCACATGGGACATGGCCTGCCTTCAAAGTTGATGATTCATCCATGGCTCATGTCTTCTTTAGAGAGCACTTGCGAGTTCCTCCGTCTAGGCCCTTACGGAGGGTTTTCCAAACACGTAAGGACTGCTGTGGTCACGTTCTAATAGAGATTTTATATCTAATTGCTCCTCATTTACCCCTTTTTCAACGGTAAAAAAAAAAAAAGTAGGTTGTCCTAGACAAGCTAAATTTCACTGTCATTAGGCATGTTTAGGTTCACACAATTGGTAGTTAAATTTTCGAAATGTTCTCATTAACCAACATATGAAACATATGAAATGTGGATTGTCAACCCAATTTGGGGGNCCATTGGTGACACTTCCTTTCTCCCTAGCCTTTGGCGCGGAAGCTATCATACTTGTCGAAATCAGTGTACACTCACTAAGGGTCTGACACCATGACCTTAACACAAATGAAGAAGGCCTACTCGTCAACCTTGACTTGATAGAGAACGGGAGAAAGATGGCCACGGTCACAAATATGAAATACAAGCATTACATGACCAAACACTACAACTTGAGGTTGAAGCCTTGCTCCCTCCTACTTGGAGACTTAGTCCCCAAAAAGGTGATATTGGCCACTAAGGACTCATGAGAAGGAAAGTTAGGACCAAATTGGGACAAACCGTACACTGTGACCAAGATTGTGAGGTTAGGCACTTACAGAATCCAGAATTTTGAAGGAAAAGCCTTATCATGTCCATGGAATGTTGAACACCTGAAGAGGTGCTACTAGTAGTGAGAAATAGGGCAAAAGATAATAAGTAGTAGGATTTGGTTTGTGTCAGCCAATTTTGTACTTTTTTGGGACCACCTACCAACTACTATTTATTAGAAACAATTATCAAATAAAGCTTTGCAGATTCATCATAAAAATTGTCTTGTTTTTATTTCACCAAAAGTTTGGAAACAAAAGACATTCTTACAAAAGTCATGGACATTACCTAAAAAAAGGAGAGCATAAAGAAAAATATATCAAGCATCCTCAGCAATCTTACTACCTTCACTATCGTCGCTCTCCTCACTGCTGCCTGACCCACTCTCATCAAAATCCTCGCCATCATCGTCACCATCTGCATCCAGATCCTCATATGGGAAATATGTCGAGAAGTCTATATTGGGGAAAGTCGCTGAACCTTTCCCCTTGAACTCCTCGTAGCAATCAATAAAAGTGCCTGATGCGTTATCCTACAAGTCATGGACAATCTTCTCTATAGCATCTCTCTTCCTTTCCATCTCCTAAAAGTGAGACTCTACTCTGTTAGCCCTCTCAAGAGCTACATGAAGCTCCATCTCAACTGCGATAGCCCTTTCATGAGCGACCCGCAACTTTACCTTAGCTCTGGCAGCCATCTCATGAATTGCTCGTAGCTCTGCCTCTGTTTCCATACAAGTAGCCTCAATCTCAACTTCTAACTTAGTGACTCTATTGCGAGTCGCCAAAAGTTCGACCTCAAGAGATGCAGATCTCTTGCGAGCCACCTCAATTGCCCCTCAACAGCCCGTTGGGTCTACCTCTCCCTTATTAGAGTCCTTGATATCTACTCATGCTAGTTGACCCATCACAAAAAAGGCATGTAGCGGTTGCGGACACCTACAAAAATACAAAAAGAGGAAAATTTTAGTGTCATCAGAGGATACGAAGAATAAAATTCCACAAAAAAGGAGTATAGGTAGTTATCCTAGCTAACCCCTCTAGTATGGTATCAATAATGTCCTGGGTACTCTAAGAGCTGATCTCTCTGATCTCCAAGGTTGACACGAACCTCGAGATGGACACTAAATGACTATTGGATGTTGGAGAAATAAGCAGAACTCTGATTTGTACGTAAGAAGAAGTCCTTGCCTCTAAAGGCGCCCTGACTGGCGGAGTAGTTAATGAAGGTGCCTGGATAACTAGAACAGATGGATGAGTCACCTACTGAGAAGTTGTGGGGGCGTCACCCATCCTTACCCTCTTGGATGGAGGAGTCGCCTACGTAGCCCTAGTAGACTAAAGAACCTCCACCCTCAACCTATCTATTGTGGAGCCTAAATAAAAGGAGGTATTTTCAGAAATTGAAAATATCATTAAATTCACCATAAAAATAACATACCTTTATTCTCGGAAGAGGAGCCACGAGCCTATGAAGAGAAAAATGGAGTAGAAGCACCTCCCAAGGGGAAGCCACTAGCTTGACTTTCTCTAGCCATGAGAATCGCATAATCCTTAATAGGGTGGGCCTTCACAGCCTGAAGCCTCCTTTCCTGATCTACTGATAACTCTGGAAAACCTAAAAATGCTCTAAATGCAAGGCGAAGACGTAAAGGACATATCAACTGAATAAGAATAAAAAAGGGAAGATTTATATGTGTCCTCATGGGTGCACCCCATCTCATAGGAACAGGAGCACAAACCTCCTCAGTAGCCCACTCTCCTTGTAGGAAAAAAAATTTAGTCTTCTAACAATAACAGTTGGAGCGTAGTCCAGAAATCAGTTTTCCTGCCTTTAAGAAAAGTGATACTAACATCGATTGGGAGTGGGGTTCTCCTGTAATATATAGGCAACAAATAATTCTTTAAAAGAAGAAGAGGAACCCTCGCCATGCACCCATCGTCACAGTGCAAGAAACGCTAATATAATTCTCCAACCATTTGGAGCTAGTCAACCTGGCGCGAGAGACAACTATGCATAGACATGGCATATAAGTGTACGAATCAAAAATCTCAAACATGTCTCTAGCACCTCTTCGTAGATGACAATGTCCCAAAAAGAGTTGTCAAAAGCGGGTTTGCCCATCTCAGCCTGACGACTTAACATAGTAGGGGAAATCCAAAAAGTAGAGACAATCCTAGCAATCTCAGCATCAATATTGCATCATTGTGGACATTGGCAAACACTGGTTATACCACCATCACCTCTTGCTGCCTCGCTACAAGTGCCAAGTGCATCTCCGCCCGTGTCTAGGTTGCCAATGCCTGCCAACACCTCACTCGGGCCAGTCACGCCTTCGCCGTATCCCAGCGCCTTGCCTGGCATTGCACTCCGACGCCTGCTTCCACTATGTCAGTGCCCAACTGTGCGGTCGCCTTTGCCCCAACGCTTAGCTCGCCTACACCTTGGTGCCTGATCCCGCTACGCTAGCTCCTAGCTTCGCGCGTGTCTGCGCCCCTATGCCCAGCCCACTTACCGTCAGTGCCCCGGCACCTACACTTGCCACGCCAGCACCCAGCTCCGGGTGCATCTGCACCCTAGCGCCCAGACTGCCTACAACTTACGCTCTAGCGTCCGTGCCTGCCACGCCAGCACCCACCTCCGCGCTTGCCTCGCCAGTCACTTTGCACACATAGGTCACAGTGCCCAATGCCTTGTCGCACCCCTCGACACCCTCTGATCCTCGTCTCCCGCGCTACACACTTTTCTCTCACTACCACTCGACGTCTCAATTTTCTCTTTTGTTCTCAGATGAGAATGGGGAGCTATATTTAAAGTTAGCTGCTACTAAAAGAGAACCCTGTTGGCTGCTAAAAAAGGACCTTTAGGTATCGGCTGCTAAAAAGAAAACCCTGCCGAAAGAGGACTCTTAGAAATCTATTGCTAAAAAGATACTTGCTTCTAAAAGAGGATGCATTCTTACTGATGCCTTTTCCCCCAAATTTCATTGGACTCTAAGCATGGGGACAAATGATGCAAGCTAAGAAGGGCCAGCCTACCGTCTTGAGTGACCCAGTCTACCACTAGTGCATATGAAGATCTCCATTTTAAGAAGGGAATCATAGAGCACAAACATTGGGGTGCACATTGCTAGCTTCAACCATCTCACCCGTTATGCCAGCATCACAAATTCACCTCGTTCTCTATTACGAGGGTGACGCCTCAATCAGGGCTCCCCCATAGTGGCGCCTCAATCAAGGCTCCCTTTGAGAAGCTATGAAGTTCTACTTGCTTATAAATTGTAAGTCCCGCTTACACATGGAAGACATCACACACATCTTAGCACATTATACCTTGAGTAATAAAACTCTCTGGCCACCGTCGTCATTCCCAGTGGAGAAGGTCACCCAGACTAAACCACCTAATTTGTGTCTCTCACTATATATTAAGCATCCCCATCACATACATCATCATACATACCATCACACTCTTGATTGATTTTGTATAAACCCATTTTATGCATCATCAAAAGTCAATGAGATTAATTAACCAAATCATTGACAACGAATTAGCAAAAAAAAAATTTAACACATTTTTGTGGATCTCCATTACCTCTTCTCTTCAATTTTTGCCAATAGAGTACCCGATGAATGACACTTGAGAATTTTAATTTCATCGGA